CTTCATATCGTTGATTTTAGGTAGTTGGAGTCAATCGACAAGGGGCCTTGGACCTGGCTTTCATGCTAGTTGGCACTTCTCAGCAAGGCATATCTGCAGCCTTGAAGGAACTGATGATTCTCTGAGACTGGAACCACTAGTGGTGACCACATAGTTGACTTGACTGATAGACTTCAGTCTGCACCAAACAAAGCATCAGACACATTACACTAGGTACTAACTAGTGTCCAATCAAAAGCATTTCATATTAAATGAAATTCAAATCGCCCGAGTGAGAATGACGTACTAGGAAAGAATTTAACCTGGTTTCAACACACACACGCATACACAGGCGGTGACAAAACCAACACATATGTGATAGACATTTTCATTATGCTGATTTTATATTTCCATACACTTATCGAATTCAATAGTCTGTACATGTTTTGTCATCTTTACCAGTTGACCCATTTGACAGTGTAAAAGCTACCCCATACAGATTAGTGTGACTAAGTTGTTATACATAAACTAAGTATATGTAAAAGCTATTAGAGTGAAACGTCAATGAAAACAATATCACTTTTTTCATTCATTGGGAAATATGAAATGTTGTATACCGAACGCCCAAACTATTATACATAAAGTTGGTTTGGAAAAATATTCCTCACTGAAATATACGTTTAACTTAAAATTTATATTGCTAACTTGAGTGCACCTTTAATCAAGTGTGTAGATAATGCTTGTGATTACATATTCTTTTGTAATCTTTCATTCCCTACTCCTACAACATTTTGAAAGGATTATTATAAGGCAGTTATGATCTTTATTTCACTTTTGAAAGTCAGTGATTTTTACACATGAATGATACTGTTATGGGAAGTCTACTCGTAACAGTAGTGGCTGATGTATATTAATACACTGAAAATAAGGCTAGTATTTTTTTCGCTACGGTCGCTTTGACTGGGAGTTGACAAGCAACATGTAACAGAATATGATATATCTATTTATTTTTATCTTTTTTATTTAACATTCCAAGTAGGACGTAGATCTGTAGGCTTTTTTTGAAATTTCAGAAGCAGTGTTGCTTTTAACAAGATGGGGGGTTACTAGCCTCGGAATTAAAATTTCCTCTCTGATGATATTACTACCAGGTAAGGAATCAAACCCAGGTCATATGCGTGGCTGGAAAATATTGTACGGGTGAACCAGTGACGACCACATTAAATGTAGCCGGTAAACATACCTACGACAGACAATGAAAATATGATTTCAACATTGATAAATTTGTTGAAAACGGATGTCCTTTGAAATTTTTGAACTTGTGTACTGGACGGCTAATTTGAAAGCTCAAAGTTTACTTCGCCTACAACAAAATATGTCCGTTTTAAATTACTTTAAAGAGAGGAAACGAATAATATTGTCTTAAGTGAGCGGTTAAATACTGCCATCTACTGAACTTACGACACAGTTCAGATGAAAGTTATCAAAAAAGCCAGAAAAACTTACTCTACCACAAACCTCAAAATTATTGAAAGTGATAACGTCATAGGATGCAGTACACTGTTTACAGTGGGAAATCCTCCACTGCTTCACTTACTCAAGTTGGTGTTCCTCGAGGAGCTGTTATCTCTTCTTCTTGGAGGCAGTGGATTGTGTGCGTTGGTGGTACAGCGGTTAGGACTCTCGCAGACCATGCACGTGGTCCTGGGTTCGATCCCCTACCGACGCACACTTGATATCTATGGTTGGCATGCAAAATTTGGGCTACCGATGTCACATGCTGAAAATTCCATACTTATGCCGAAAATACTGTGTGAAATCAAGCTATAATCAAAATAAAATACATGACTTGCGCCAATGTAACGAAGCGAATTTTTGTTAAGTATGTTGTTGATCTGACTGTTTCTATGCCAGTGGTTACTTCTCAGTCACACTGTTCCAAAATGAATACTTTTTTTATCAGAAATTACTCACTGGTCCTCGTCAGACGGTCATAAGCTTAACCCCTACAAATGTCAGATGGTTAATTTCACTTTCAGATGCAAGCATAACTTACTTAAACTGGTTATTTCGCACTGTTCCACTGGGTAATAGATGCCACTGAAGTTGAAACCAAAATGGATTTTAAAATAACTTGGACTGTGTATTTCCTTTGATCACCTTTCCTAGTCCTCCCACTTCATTTTAATTTCCAAAAAGATATTTCGTTTGACGTTCATTGTAAGGAAGTTAAGACGATCTGGAATCATTTCGTCTCCACTGTTACCGTTTGTTAATTCTTATGGTGTTCTGCATATATTTCTTTAATGTTTCCCCCCCCACACACCTTGTTTTTTCCTGAGCCACATAAAGAAGACTTTGTTTTACTGATCGGGGTGCTAAAAGCTGTTAGTGGGGTAAGTGGGTTTTTGCTAAACCAAATCGTTAATACTGCTGTAGACAGACACTTGGATTCCTGAGAGAAAACAGCAAATGTTATCCTTTCAGACTGTGAACATCCTTTCCTTACACAACTCTTACCTCTCCACACACAAGGTTCTCCTTGCATCCCATCAGGTAGGTAGGACTGGAAGCAACTATAGAAGACTGCTTGCTCGGAGGACTAAGTGCAGAGACTCCACGATGCCTTATTTACCAAACACTTCATGTGATGCATTACATGCTGATAATTCCATATTTATAACAAAAGTACCATATGCAATAAAGCTATTATTATGTCGTCTATCGATTGACATGTATGTGGAGAAAAATGTAAGCACAATTACATATCAGAGTGGGGAGAGATGTCAGATCACTCTGGAAACCAAATCACCCCTAAAACCTTGATCAACACAGGGGATAGACTACCAGTCTTATTAGTAAAAAAATACTGCTGATATGAATAATGGGATTCATATCAAAACAGATTCCAAGACTATATGTGTGTACAAGCGTCGGTGGCATAGCATAGGAGTGCTCGCCGACCACGCCTCATGTGGTCCAGGGTTCGATCTCCAGCCGACGCACTCCTTTACCTCACTAGGCCAGTAATAAAACTGATAAAGATGGAAGGTTGGGCATAAGGCTAACAATCCCATCCCGTAAAAATACAAACCACTGCTACTGAAACTTTAAGCCACTCGCTTGAAGCCCTATGTTCCACTGGGAACGTACAGGAATATTTAAAAAATAAAAAATGCGCAAACCAGGAACGGTTACTAAATACTAAAATACCCCGAGACAATAGCCATCCAAAAATGCAAACCCTTCGCTATGTGTTTGCAAAAACAGTGGCAATCCTTATCTGAGGATTTTACCAACGGTGTTGTCCCATTTGTTGTTTTCTATAGGATTTAGTCATTATGTTTAGAAAGCCAATACTAAAAACATATTCAAGAAATGTGAACAGTGACAGAATTTCCTTATTCTATTATCACTTGTAAATCTTTACCGCTTTCTAATTGAAACACGACATTTCATGAAATTGCGCCAAAAAGCCCAAAAAACCGAAATGTAAAAGAGTCGGGTAGAAATGCCACTGTCTGATTTTGACAGTATGCAAATTAACGCGCTACAAAATGCACATGACAGGAAATAGACAAGACAGAAGCATTTATTCCAGAAAAAAGATGTGAGGGACATTGACACAAAACTAGCCAGAGGGAATAAAAAGCAGACAGGGAAGTATGCGTATACCTTTTTGAAGAATTTCATTTCTGTGTCAACACTGTCTTCATTTCCTCTGCCCACTACTAGTAGTCAATTCTTGTTTTTTGACAGTTAGAAATGTAGTATTTTAAAAATTTCATCTCAGTGGCACTTTGCGTCTATCTGTCAAGACTATCAGTATTACCGACTGAGGTACATATATGTGAGTACAGAAATAATAGTCTTGTGAATCAGAAATGTATGCCCTACAATTTTCCAGTCATATTCCCCGTATAATGTTAGTTGTGACAAGTTTTATACTGACATTTTTACAATGAAATTTCATCCTGTCTCAATTTCATATTAGAATGTGAGTGTGTGTGATAAATATTTGTTCTGATGGGATTTTTAGCTACTATAAGTAAAGTTTTGAAAAAGTTTCAACACCACCTCCTAATATCTAACAGTAATTCAACAAGTGCACTGCAATGACGAGTCTTGTAGGTTATTCACTTCATTGCAAACTGATCAGGACAGTTCAGTCGCAACCAATGACATTATCTTCCTCCCTAATGACAAGTATGCGTTGGTGGTACAGTGGTGGAATGCTCACCAACGACGCACGTTGTCCGCAACTTGATCACCGGTCGACGCACTCCTAAACCCCGCTTAACTGGTAGTAAGCCAAGTGAAGAGGGAAAATTACTAATAAAGCTGGTAATACCATCGCCTAAAAGAAGAATTGGTTGGGGGATTTCATCATGAGCTGACGTCGGCTAGAGAACCATTGGAAAACAAGTTGAGAGAACTGGATAGCTATTTCATCCTATTTTACGTCACTTCACAGTACGCACACACCACCGGCGTTTGAACCCAGGACCATCTGATGCTCACTAGTGACCGGCATTATTCAAGCATTTACCTGGGGTTCTAGTGGGAAACCGTGACCAGTAGGCTACAGCAGGTCGAAGTTGGGGACAGTTACTCACCGAAGAAGACATTGTGAAGTGGTCGCGCTATGTCGTGAATTGGCAGAAGTTGGAATTCACGGGTCATTGGATCGGGTGCCAGTGGCTTAATGTTCTACAAGCTCGCCGTGTAACCAGAAGGTCCTGGGTTCGAACCCCGGTGTTCACATACTGCTGAGGAGTCCTAAATTAGGACAGAACAGCTGTTCAGGAATCCCTGCTGTCAGCTCATAATGAAATCCTTCAATCAATCAAACACAAAGTCCCTACAAAGCAGTACATGAAAATAAAAGAACTATAACACCACTGCTACTGAAACTTTGAAAGCCTCATAGCTTGAAGCCATTTGTTCTACTCAAAACACAAAAAGGAATAAAATGCTGCAAGATATATTTATATAGAGTACTCAGTACAATGAATACTTACTTGCAGTAATGTCCATCAATAGTGGATCGATAAACTCCTTTGGTGAGTAGATACATTTCAGCTACCTGTACAACTAAATTGAGCAAAATGAATTCAATTAAAGTATGCTGAAAATTCATTTCATTGTTTAAAGTTATTTAATCCTCAATATGGAAAAAACACTTGATACTATTGAACAAGTTCTGTAGAAATATAAAAGAATTTAAATAAAATTCTTCTGTCGAAGTAAATGGCTAGACTATCTGAGTTGACCATATGTTAACAAAATGCTAACAATTTAGCGGGAGAGATTGAAGGCAGCAGAATTGGTTCCAAGTGTGCAACACAGGGACTCAACAACACACATCTCTCTGTTGTCATGATCCATGTAATTTTATTCACCTGGCTCTACAATTGCCCATAGGCTCTTATATCTTCCTCACATGATCTCCTCCCTCATGTCACTCTCGTATCCACACCCGAATTGGCTTCCACTTGTTGGTATGTCCGGCGCATGATATCGCTCAACAACCTCAGCATGTGTCTAATTTCTTCGACATTCGCGTTGGCCTATAGGTTTGGCTTATCCATTCTGGCCATCTGATATTCAGTGTGCAGAGAAGGCAGCCGTTGATAAAAGTCCAGTTTACTTGCTCTGGCGGAGCTGAGTACATCGGCCGTACCATGCGCCAACTTGGAAAACGCTCACATGAACACTTTCCAGCCTGGCTAGTTAGTAAAAGGAGATCGAAAAAGTGTATATAGTTCAGTGACAGAACATCTGGTCAATTCAGGACATTCAGCGCCATTCGAAAAATTCTTCAAAATAATATACAAGATTCGATCAAACCTATCAAAGGAAGCAAAATTAAGATATCTGGGCAAAGTCAAACCACTAGCTATCCAAAAGCTGAAACCCACGCTATTGATCCAAAAGAAATACGTCCAACCTTTGTCCCTGCCATGGCCAACATAAACAGGTAATTCTTTTAATAGTGACTATCCCATCGCCTTTTTAATCCGAACTTCCTGTCTATTTTGTCATTTTACTATTTCTACATATTTTATCCCTGATTGCATAAACAATTATTCGTCACATTAGTTATGATCCCATTAGATTTTTTCATCCAAACATCCTGTCTATTTTTGTTATTTCTAAATTTCTAACCCCTAATTGCACAATATATCAATCGTCTCAGTAATTATGATGCTACATTGTTTGAGCTATATCCGTACCCCTGTTTATTATGGTATTTCAATGCCTAACTGTAATTTTGTAAATTTGACTCTTAACCGGAAATTATTCTGGAACTTTGCCACCCATTTATCATAAATACACGAATGTACAGCCTAGTTGATGACTTCGTCGAAAAGAAATTTTCTTCGATGCAACTGTCTTTTTAATAATTCCTATGATAAAAGTCCGCAGTAGCCTGTTGGAAAAGCTTCAAGTGACTCACATACCAAGTCTCTGACCTATATCAAAGCAATAAGTAACTTAATATTTGTGTTGAAAATCCGAAATTTTTACTTTATGTTGAATTCAGTATAATGAGTGTATGTTTGTCATTAAAGATCCTGGCTGGCTCTGACATCGTCAACCCTGCCGCTTGTACTTGAAAAGATGCTGTCCAGATAGGTGAAAAAAAGTGGCTTCATTTCAGTTTCTTCAGTCGATAGTGATTGGCGTTTGTTATTATCGGATTGGCTGGTTGGCTTAATTAACTCTGTCTTCTCTATGTTCAGTTGAAATTCTCTATTAGCTACCTGCCTTTTCTGTCATTTTGACAGATCTCGTATGTAGATCTTCGAGTTTGAATGACATTAGATATAAATCGTCCTCGGCGCCAAGATCTTCTACAATCTTCTTGTCGGTTCAACGTACGATCTTGTGCATGAGCTAGTTTCCAACAGTGAGGAATATCATCGGTGATAGTCGTCTGCCTTGTCTTATTCCTATCGTCATTTCAAAGGCTTCTCCAACTTTTCCGCTGTTGACTATTTGACATGTATCATTTCCATAAGGCTATAAAATGAGGCACTGCACTCCGTAGTGTTGAAGTGGTTTCCAAATTACTTCACTGTCAACGCTGACGAAGCCATTTTCGGAGTCAGTGAAGTTGTGTTAGGGGCTGAAGTACAATTATATGCTCTGTTTGGGCTAGTGGTATCCAGAATGCGAATGAGGGAGTCTACCAGCTTAGCTACCATGCCAAAAATGCTACTAGGTTATTACTTCCCTGCAATCAACATATGCAATGCCTATACGTCGTATGAATGAATACTACGTTACTGACCGTCTATTGTTATCCTGGCCAAATAGCTAGATTGTCTTCCAGCAATTCTAATTATATTGAAGTCGAAGAGAAGGAGAAGGTAGCTCGCAGTTTGTTTGAGTACTGCAGTGAGTGACCAAGATTTCCAGTAAATCTTCAACTATTACTGATGAGAGAAATACACCAAATGACACCGATGATCAACTTCCTTCTAGACAAACTTTAGAACCCAACATATCTTTTGAGGCATACGATGATTTGAAAACTTCATTTTGTTTCAACTGGAGGGAGACAGCATTTACCATACAAACAAGTTAATATGAGAATTCTGTTGGAAGCTTGTATTATACGTTAAGATTCGAATCAACAACCTGTGGAATATGAAACTGTTTATTTCGACTGCATTTATTAATTTCAGATTTCCTCGGTTTAGATTCTCGCAGTATTTTGTCATTCAGCTTTATTCTTTATCCCTTCACATAATTCGCCATTCTTTCGTCAAATAAATGCGGCACTTTTCTCTAAATTTTAACAGAAATTATCTACTCGCAACTTCTTAGTTGCCAGTGGAGTTAAATGGAGATTTGAAGTTAAGTGTCAAAGCGATCATCATAGCCAATAAATCCTTTGCTTCAGTTTTCATTGAAAAAACCGATGCTAGCCGGAAATGTTCAAAAATTTAAATAAATTGTCTTTCTTAGAATTACTTGTGTACATATATATTTATATAAATCAAATCCCTACAAACCAATACTTGAATAACAATGAGATGCTCACTGGCGACTGGCCCTATTCAGGTAGGTAGTTACCTGGGGTTCCAGTGGGAGGTCATGACCAGTAGGGTGCAGCAGGTCTGGTGTGAGGACGAATACTCGCCGAAGACATTGGCTGGGGGTCGCGCTATGTCGTGAATTGGCAAAGGTTAGAATTCATGGACAGGCCATTGGATCGGGTCCCAGTGGCTTAATGGTATACGAGCTCGCCAGGCTTGTAACCAGAAGGTCCTGGGTTCGAATACCCTATGGTGGGTGCGTACTGATGAAGAGTCCCAAACTAGGACAAAACAACTGTCCAGTACTCTCAGGTTTTCCAATGGTTCTCTAACCAATGTCAATTTATGACGAAATCCTGTAACCAATCAATCAAATCCCTACAAACCAATACTTGTATAAAATTTTTTTTCAATTAACCCGCTTATGAAATGCGTCAACACTCTTCCGAATGCTAAATTGCGGTTTGAATAGGTTTCAACGATCAGTTTTAGTTGGATATCTATCCAAAGTGAAATTTTCAAGTGTTTTATTTGAATTCGTGTAGGAGAAGTTATTCTCTGAGATGTTTTTTTCTCCACTTAATGAGCACCAATTCAATCGAGGTGTTACACACGTTTAAGTAAGGTACTTGTTGACGAAAGAATGAATTCAAATATTACTTAGTCATTAAATGTATATTTTGTTAGACTAATTGATCATACTTGAAGAGTAATCAACTCATTTCTAAAAGAAACAAAATTTTAAAAAATAAAACTTTTGTTGAAATAAAATGAAACTAAAGTCAATCAACACTTTTTGGTTAGAGTTAGTTGGTTTTTTGTATGACGGGGTATGGACGTTTTTGTCTGTAGGCAAAAACTGGTTATCTGAAACCATTGTGTAAGCCATGGTTTGTTTTAAGTTAAACCAATTTGCTGTAAAGCTGGGCTGATAAGAAGATTCTGGAAGATCCAGATTTCGTGGACGATTGATGTAAAGTGGCACACAAAGTTCAAGACTTACGGGCGAAAGCCGACACACTGGCAGAAGAAGCAGCCAGAGAAGACAGGGCTCCATGTGAACACGGAGGAGATGGAGGTGTTGAAGGTAACTAACCAACAACAACTATAACCAGTACCAGTCACCATCAACAGGAGGAATTTGACAGAGGTTGCTTCCTTCACTTATCTAGAAAGCATCATTCCAACTACAGCCGAAACGGATAAGAATGTTGAAGACAACCAGAATCGGAAAGGCAAATCATTTTGCAGATTTTCTCAACTCAACGTAAGCAATGAAAATTGGCTTTTCAACCCGAATGTTGAGTCATTATTCTTTGATTAGGGTTAGGTGATTCGCAAACGCATCACGAGAAACATCTCGAACGCGTTGCAGACTTTCATCAGCAGTTGCTTTGTCTTCAAACGGAAGATCAGATAGCAAGCCAGAAAGAATTACCAACAAAAATGTCTAGGAACGAGCAAACGAAGAACCGACTGCTCAGCAAATACTCCGAAGAAAGTAGAGGTAGAGCAAAAGTACGCTTATGAGACTGTTGAATGACATCGTGCGCTCGAATGGAACCTGAGTGAAAAACGACGACTTGAGAATAAGTCTACTGGTGACATGGGAAAGATTGAGTGAGGAGGGGGAGATGAGAGCCTATTGGCAATCATGGGGACAGAGAAATAAGACAATTGAGAGTAGGGCAAAGTGTATATGTATTGTAGAATCTCTATTTTCCAAATGGAACCCAAGCGAACGATAATAAAAGTACTGTGGAATTGGTATGACCAATAAACATTTGGAATTAATACTCAGGATTCACAATCGTATATTGGTTAACGGTATTCAGTTGATCTTAGTTTAGTACAGAATATGAGATATCGTTGGGCTTTTGCCACTTGTTTCTTCCTACTAAGTGACACATCGGCGGTACACAGCTGTGAGGACGACATGGATTTAGCTCACAATCTTCAGTTTACGTCACGTGAACACGTTATCATTCAGACGTGCTGGTTCCGAATTCAACAACTTTATGAATCGGTTACAGGATTTCATCATTAGCTGATATTGGTTAGAGAACCACTGGAAAACCTGCGAGTACTGGAGAGATGTTTCTTCGGGTGTGAGGACAAATACTCGCCGAACACATTGGCTAGCGGTCACGCTATGCAGTGAATTAGTAGAAGTTAGAACTCATTGGCGGACCATTGGATCGGGTCCCAGTGCCTGCTGAATGGTACACCAGCTCACCTTGTAACCAGGACGTCCTGGGTTCAAACCCCGTGTGGTGGGTGCGTACTGTGAAGAGTCCCAAACTAGTACGAAACAACTGTCCAGTACTCTCAGGTTTTCCAGTGGTTCTCTAACCAATGTCAGCTCATGATTAAATCCTGTAACCAATCAACCAAATCCCTACAAACCAATGCTTGAACTTTATGAATTCTAATTTCTATCCTTATGCGAGATAGTGCCCATGTCAAACTACTTCATCATTGAGTATCTGTATTCATACTCCATTTGGTGGAGTTCTTATCAAAACTCCCCAGAAAGTCATTCTGTAGTCATTCAGTCATCATTCATGATCTGTAAGAATCACCTCGATTTTGAAGGGTGGATTCTGTTCAATAGGGGATATAATCAGGTAAGCTTTATGTTAGATATTTATATTTTTATAAACTATATTTTATTACTATACAGGAATTGAATGTAAGTATTACGATGCAATAATTGTTTGAAAAATCTCCCGTGAAAGGTCTGTTTACCATATTGGTAGTTATTTAGATGTTTCAACTAACTTTACAATTATGATCCTCTTTTCCCCTGGGTTATATGTCAATGTTCTCATGTTCACATATCACCTATTGACTCAATCCTGATTGTTTGACATTATTTCCTTTTTGTTTAATCCCTAATGTAAATGATTCCCTTTGTGAATTTGAATAAAGTAAGAACAACAGTTTGAGCAGAATAATATAGTATCATCATTCTCATCAGGTCCCACCTCGAATTTTCTGAACATGTGCCGAAAAGCCTACGTCTCAAGGGAACAGACGCCCACAATAGTGCCATTACCATGAGGTGGAAATAGCAAAACCTTTAAATTAATAAATAGACAAAAAGTCCAGTTCTCCTTATGTTTTCTAAAGCAATCTCAAACAAACGCCTGAAACTCAATTTATGTATGGAGAAACAAGCAGTTATTAGTCTTCCCTTGCCATCCTGGTAACTTGATGTCTTTATTCTCTCTTTCATTTGATTATGTAATCTTTGGTTTTAACCTCAAATGCTTCCCTTTGGTACAGTAGAGTTTTGTTTATCTCTTTCTTCTATGATTTGAACTGAACTCAGTACACTGTTACCCAACTTATGGGTTATTCAACATCTTACGCATCTCTCGTCTTTATTACATAACTCTCTTACCATTGTATGCATAGATTTACTTTGTTTAAACTTGAAATCCCTGTTTAAAAACTATATAAGCGTAATTTTCTGAACACTTATATCATGTAAAAATTTGCAGATATGCTAAAACGTTCTTGCACACGAACTTTATATTAATTTATTTACGCTGTATGCAGCTGCGCTGACCAGAAGCCAACGAAATATTTGAAGGTACTATATTATTCAGCAAAATCTTCTGTTCTTGCTTTATTCAAATTAATAAAGGGGAATAAATATGTTATTTTACGACTGCCATTTTATTTAAATGAGGCCAAGGTTAGCACTGGAGATTCTATCCCTAAAATGTTTGAAGGAAATGTCCAGTGCATGATTCTTGCTGACAGAGTTTTCATCTCACCTTGTTGGGAATATTCTGCTTGATTCTCAAGTAATTCGTACAGATGATTTTGGTTAAATAATGTTTCTTATGTGGCACTTTTTATGCATGCAAGAACTCTCTGATCTGTATAGCTGCCTAATGGTACTGTTTGAGGTCAATTTGAGTTTATTGTAAGTTATTATTGTTAACTTGTTTTATCATTATTTTATTCCTTTGCGTTCCCGGTGGAACACAGGGATTCAAGTTAGTGGCTTGAAATTTTCAGTAGCAGTGGTGTTCATTTTTACGGGATATTGATTGATGCTAACCTCATGTCCAACCTTCCATCTTTACCAGTCTTATTACTGCCTTAGCGATGTATAGGAGTGCATCGGCCGACGATCGAACCTCGAACCACATATGGCTTGGTTGGTTGGCATTCCACCGCTGTGCTACCAACGCACGATGACCTAATAACCACAGATTTTATCGCAAGTAACTGCGTTTCCCGATGTTGTTGGGGGGACACTTTAGGACTATGAGTCACTCAAAGTAGTTCTGGTTAGCTAAACCATAGAAAGCGAAGATTGCTTTCCAGTGTCCAGACCAAAATACTTCGGTTTTGGCTGCCCATAAAAAAGGAAGATCAACTTTCGGCATCACTTATTTTCGTATCCGATTGAAGTTTCACCACTGTAGTGTTTCGTAATTGTTGTGACTGTTTTCACAGCTTCATTAGTACGAACATACTTATATAGTATTAATTAAGTAGTAAAGCCTTGATAAACAAATAACTTTCCCACATCTGTTATGTTTCCCTTTTTTGGTGATTTTAACTGTCAGCAATAAATTGTTTCATTTCCAAGAATTATATTATAATTATTGTTCCCTTGGGTTCCTAGTGGAACATAAGTCTTCAACTACACGCCTCCACTTGCTTCTGTCTTCTGCTGTACTTTTCACTTGCATCCAGGTTAGTCCATTCTGTTTCAACTCTTCTTCACACGATCTCCTTCATGTCACCCTGAGACGTCCTACTCGCCGCTTCCCTTCCGGGTTCCACTCGAGCTATGGCCTGACGTGCGATGTCACCCAGCAGTCTCCTCAGTGAGTGTCCAATCCATCTCCACTTTCTCCTGCATATTTGTTGAGCGATTGGTTCTTGTTTTGTTTGTTCCCATAGTTTCTTGTCGGTGATTCTTTCCGGTCATCTGATCTTCAGTATAAAAAGAAGACAGCTGTTGATAAAGGTCTGCAAGAGGCTGATGGAAATATTCTTTGTGACTGGCTAAGTTTCTGATCCGTATAGAAGAACTGACTGGCTTGACGTTTGTATTGAAAATCCGAATTTTGTTGTTGATGCTGAGTTGAGTGACGAAGATTTCCAGATTGGTTTCAGGTTGATGAATGTGTTTCTCGCCTTCCCGACTCTCGATTTGACATCCTTGTCCGTTCCTCCTGTAGTTGAGACAATGCTCCCTAGATAAGTGAATGAAGTAACCTCTTTCAAATCCCTCCCGTTGATGGTGAATGGCGCTGGATGTTGCTGCTTTTGGTGGTGGTGGTAGTGGTTGGTTATTTTCATAACCTCCATCTTGTCCATGTTCACCTGGAGTCTTGTCTTTGCTGCTTCTTCGACCAGTTTGTGGGTTTTCGCTTGTAATTCTTCGATTTTGTGTGACATCAAACATAAATCATCCACGCGCGAAATCCAGATCTTCTAGGTTCTTCACGTCGGTCCAGGATATCCCTGTCTTTTCGTTTCCCACTGTCTGAAGCATAATCCAGTCCACCACAATTAGGAATATCATTGGTGATAATAAGCACCCTTGTCTGACTCCTGTGTTTACTTTAAACGCCTCGCTGAGAATTTCATTGTGGATCACTTGACATGTGCCGTTGTCATACAGCTGTTGAATAAGGTTGATGAATATTTGGGGTAAATTCCGAGAATGCTTGATGAAAATTATGCAATGAATTTTAATTTAATTTGACAGGGAATTCGAAACAACAACAATAGAAAAAGAACAAAACTCAAAAGAAAATCCTGGTACATATGGATGTTGGGGGGAAGGGCTGCGGGTGGGGGGTCGGTGATAACAAGTGTATATGCATATATATATATATATAAGCAATAAAACTGCAAACAACCAACATACCAGCTATTTGTAATTTTCTTACGGCCAACTGGCAAAAGTTATCCAACACAACTGATATACAAATAGATTCATCATGAAAATACAACTAGAATGAAATAGACACATAAATAAAAGGAAATTTAGAAACGTCGAATTTTGTAAGAATATTATTTCATTTAGAAAAACAAACAACAGAAGATGTCACGGTTACTTGGAAATCAGTCTATCAGATTTAGGTGGACGAAATAAATCTATCAGCAGAAAAATGATTTTCGATTTGATGTCTTAACGGAATAAATTAATAATATTTGAATGGCAGATTTTAGATCGTCTTCTCAGTTGAGTTTCAATGAGCTTAAAATTGGATTTTACTGAAAGGTATGAACAAGTGCTTTATGTTCAGTTAAGCAACAGGTGGCTGTAATAAATTAAAAATGATCCAGTCCCATGATTCCTGTAGTATCGACGTCACTGTGATGGAGAGCATAGTGAGTTGTCACCTAGCTTTGCATCAGTTTTTCTGTGAATCTCTTTCTCTCCCTCTTAATCGTCTCATATCTGGTTCATTTTCTAAGAAAATCGTTTGATTTATTACATAAGGAAACTGGGAGATTTTGGCATAACTCAACCTCTTCCCTTACAATTCGTTAATTAATTCATGCATCTCACCCCTTCTACTTTTTTACTCCTGCTTATATTATTTCTTGGGCTTTTCAGGAAAGACTGGGTTATATTTTGTAGGACTTTGAAGGCTGTAAACGAGGTTGGTGGTGTGTGCCTTTGACTCAACTAACGAACACTGTGCTTGTGATAGACATTTTAATTGTTGCAAGCAGTGAGTTAAAGTTATCTTGTCTGACAGCGAACATCCTACTTATTATTCACAACTTTCTCCTTGTATCTCTTAGAATAAAACAAGAAGAAATTTCACTAGAATTTTCACTCATACGGCAGATATGAAAATGCAACTATACCGCAAGAGATAAATGTCAAAAAAGGGCTTATAAAAGTGGTAAATGAGTAGGAAGATAGCAGATTATAACCAGTATTATTACTACACACATTATTCATTTAGTGTCCATTATATTCCGCCTCGCCGGACCAGTGCGTCGGCAGCACAGTGGTTTAGACGCTCGCCGACCATGCACATAGTCCAGGGTTCGATCCCCGGCCAACGCACTCCTTTACCTCACTAAGCTAGTAATAGAACTGGCAAAGAGGGAAGGTCGGGCATGAGGCTAGCAACCTCATCCTGTAAAAATAAACATTGCTACAGAAACTTCAAGCCTTTAGCTTGAAGCCCTGTGTTCCACTGGGAATGTGAAGTAATAAAAAAAAATTCTACTAACTCTCAGTTTTCTGGCTTTATTATTTTTACTTTTATGCGCATATATGTATGTATAAAAGTAGCCTAACTGTTACAGTACTTACAAACTCAAGTCGGGTGTGAGGAGAAATACTCGCCGAAGAAACTGCCTAGCGGTCGCGCTATGTCGTGAATTGGCAGAAGTTAGAATTCATAGGCTGACCATTGGATCGGGTCCCAGTGCCTACTGAATGGTCTACGAGCTTGCCTTGTAACCAGAAGGCCCTGAGTTCGAACCCCGATGGTGGGTGCCTATTGTCAAAGCGTCCCAAACTAGGACGAAACATCTGTCCAGTACTCCCTGCAGGTTTTCCAATGGTTCTCTAACCGATGTCAGCTCACAATGAAATCCTGTAATCAATCAGTCAAATCCCTACAAACCATTACTTAAATATCCATTCAGCATAACTATTACTGTTTTGAATAGAGTGACTATATTATTAGATATATTATTACGGTGCTATACTGTGTATGAAAATAACCATAAAAGCTGACTGGTTAAAACTACTACTATATTGGAGAAAGAATTGCCAGTGACATGAAAGAAGGTTTTTCAATTAGTAAATTCGCCGTAGACAGATGCGATCACTAATCCCTATCGACGGAATAAATTTGAAGGACGTAAGTCCCTTCACCTATACCGAAAACGTTGTTTCGTCTACAGGCCACATGAACGATGATGTCAAAGGCAGAATCGGAAAGGTAAGGCTGACATTCATCTGTTTGAAATCAATGTAGGAATCTTCTTCACTCAGCAGGAAGAACGAAATTCACACTTTCAACAGCAATGTTAAATCACTCCTTCAATGCAGTTCAGGAAGTTGGCGCTTTGCGAAAAGCATTTTGGACAGACTCTTATCAACGTCCTCATTCTCTCCATGCTGAAGGTCAGATAGTCCACCAGAAAAAACTATCTGAGGGTGGAATTTACGTTTATGGGCGGTAGTGAAGTCAGCTAATGAGGATTAAAGAGAAACGGATGAAAACGGAGAAGCGCTTTTGAAGCCCTGTGTTTCACTAGGAACCTAAAGAAATGATAATAAACATGGTAATATGCTTCTGTGGCAGAGTAGACACAAAACTCCAGCTAACGACTTATTAGCGATGCTGTTTTTATAAGTCAACTTCCATTTTCACCATGACTTGGTATCTGGATTAGTGAAATGACCATAAACACTTCCTTTGAACATAAAAATAATCAAGGATACATCTACTGTCAGTTTCCTGCTCATTGTGACCTGGTTTTCAGAATAAGCTTGCTGGTGTCATTTATCTGACACCTTACTTGTCAAAAATAATAAACCAAATGAAAATTTTAACAAAATCTGGCAGCTAACATATCAAATGAAAAAATAAATAAGATCGCAAACGTTTTTAATAAAAGAGCCTTATATATACTCCCAGGTTTTCCAATGGTTCTCTAACCAATGTCAGGTCATGATGAAATCCTGTAACCAATCAACCAAATCCCTACAAGCAAGCACTTGAATATCAATGAGATGCTCACTGGCGACTGGCCCTATTCAGGTAGGTAGTTACCTGGGGTTCCAGTGGGAAGTCGTGACCAGTAAAGTGCAGCAGGTCGTGTGTGAGAACAAATACTCGCCTAGCGGTCGTGCTATGTCGTGAATTAGCAGAAGTTAGAATTCATGGGCCATTATATCGGGTGGCAGTGACTTAATGGTATGCGAGCTCGCCTTGTAACCAGAAGGTCCTGGGTTCGAACCCCAAGAGTGGTTGAGTACTTATGAAGACTCACAAACTGGGACGAAACCTCTGCCCAGTACTCCCAGATTTTCCAGTGGTTCTCTAACCATTGCCAGCTCACAATGAAATCCAGTAACCAGCCTTATATAACATCCAGGAAATGAGAATTTGTCATTCAGATATGAAATAAAAATATCTTTGTATGAAAAACGGCTAGGTAACACTGCATAAAAACAGAAGGATTAAACGAAGGAATATTTACTTTTCAGTTAGATCCTCATCTGTGCTTATACTATATTAAACATAACATTTTCAATAAAATATAGAAAATACACCAGTCTAGTGATGATAAGTTTGTCAACAAAAAGTTTCACTGATCCGACTGTATCGGCTTAGAAACAACTGGCTGAGTGATGAAAAAAGCTTAAAAAAACGAAGGTTTCATTTCACGAAGTTTGTATTGAATTGATGTAAACTACGGATGCCGTCACACCAAGATCATATGGACTGCTGAAAGGGCAAAAAATGGGTCACTACTCATATCAGTGGTAGATAAATCTCATTTCATGTATCACCCAACAGCTTGAAAGAGAATATGATTCAATGCAAAGATGGAGAAGAGAAAGAGACGCTGAGCTCAACTTACACAGCACTGGACGAAGAAGTGAAGAAGAATGCCAGGAAGGACAAAAGAAGGTTCTACGACTACCTGGCCACTGAAGCTGAGAAGGCAGCAGGCAAAAAGGACCTGAGGACACTATATCAGATAACCAAGTCTCTATCCGGGAAGAGATCAACACAAGTGAAACCTATAAAAGACAGCCAGAGGAACACAATTACCAAGGAAGAAAGACAGATAAAACAATGGGTGGACCAATTCAAAGGACTCCTGAACCGACCACCACCTGCAGGCCATCCAGAAATACCAACAACAGCGCGTACACAACTGCAAGTTGACACCAATCCTCCAACGAAAGCTGACGTCTTGAATGCAATCAAGCTTCTGAAAGCTGGAAAAGCAGCTGGACCAGATGGAATACCCCCGGAAGCACTGAAACCGGACCAGGGACGACAGCAGATATGCTGACTCCATTACTGCAAAAAGTCTGGAAAGAGGGAAAGGTGCCAACTGACTGGAGGAAAGGTTACCTAGTGAAACTACCAAAGAAGGGCGACCTAGGACTCTGCAAGAACTGGCGGGGAATCATGCTCCTGTAGACGCCAAGTAAAATCATGAGTCGCATCATCCTGGAGAGAATAAAGGACGCACTGGATACAGAACTCCGACCAGAACAAGCTGGATTCAGGAAAAACAAATCATGTTCTGACCAAATTGCAACTCTACGCATCATAATCGAACAAAGGATGGAATGGCAATCAAACCTCTACCTCAACTTTATAGACTTTGAGAAGGCCTTCGACAGCGTTGACCGTGAAGTAATTTGGAAACTACTCGAGTACTACGGCGTACCGCAAATATTCATCAACCTTATTCAACAGCTGTACAAAAACGGCACATGTCAAGTGATCCACAACGGAAAACTCAGCGTGGCTCTTCAGGGTAAACACAGGAGACAGAGAAGGGTGCTTATTATCACCAATGATATTCGTAATTGTGGTGGACTGGATTATGCGTCAGACAGTGTGAAACGAGAAGACAGGGATATCCTGGACCGACGTGAAGAATCTAGAAGACCTGGATTTCGCGCGTGGATGATTTATGCATGATGTCACACAAAATCGAAGACTTACAAGCGAAAACCGACAAACTGGTCGAAGAAGCAGGCAGTGAAGACAGGACTCCAGGTGAACATAGACAAGACGGAGGTTATGAAGATAACCAACCAACCAACAACAACAGCAACATCCAGCGACAATCACCATCAACGGGAGCGATTTGAAAGTGGTTACTTCATTCACTTATCTAAGGAGCATTGTCTCAACCACAGGAGGAACGGACGAGGATGTCAAATCGAGAATCGGGAAGGCGAGAAACACATTCGTCAACCTGAAACCAATCTGGAAATCTTCGT